GCTCCTGGATTAGTGCTCCGCTGAATTATCTGATCAATTTTTGTTTTCAAGAAGGAAAATTCCCAGAGAATTTCAAACTCGCAATAGTTCAACCTCTGCACAAGAAAGGGGATCCAAATGATTTTGTGAATTACAGAGCAATTAGCCTGTTATGTAGTATCTCTAAATTGTTTGAGATGGCAGTAAAGGATCGGTTAACCAAGTATTTAGTCAAGTACAAACTCCTATCACCAGAACAACATGGTTTCTGCAGTAACAAAAGCACAGAATCGGCACTCTGTGAGTTCAGTCAAAAAATAATTTCAAGTATTGACAAAAAAATGTTTGTTTTGGGTATTTTCATTGACTTCTCAAAGGCTTTCGATCTAGTGAATCATCAGTTACTTTGTGCCAAGCTAGAAAGATATGGAATAAGAGGTTTGCCACTGAATTTAATAGATTTATATCTCAGCAGGAGGAAACAAATAATTAGAGTGAACAACACTTTTTCTGACGAAATGGATATCGAGCAAGGTGTGCCACAGGGTTCTGTTTTAGGTCCTCTTCTTTTCAATATTTTCGCTAACGATCTTATACTTTATATTCGGAAGATACAGAATGTTCATGTTACGTGTTATGCAGATGATACGAATATATTGGTTATAGATGAAGATCTAAATAGGCTAAAAAGTACTGCTGAAACGGTTTATTCAAATATTGAGAAATGGTCAAAAAATAATAATCTACAACTTAATCATGGAAAAACAATAACTGTTCTTTTTGGTTCCAGCAGGATTGATGTAGTCAAACTATTTGAAGATTCTGATAATGAAATAACCAGCAGCATGTCAGTAAAACTATTGGGAGTTACTTTCGACAGGCAGCTTCATTGGGTTGATCATATCAATAATTTGTGCAAAAAATTACAGAGTAGCTGTTATAGTCTGAAATTTATGAAGAACCACTGCAGTCGGCACATACTACTCTCGTTGTACTATGCCAATTTCCATTCCCACATAAAGTACGGGATTTTGAATTGGGGCAATTGTGCTCATGTGAATAGAGTACTGGTTCTTCAGAAGTATGCAATTCGAATTCTTGCTAGTGTCGATATGAGAACAAGTTGCAGAGCATATTTCAGAACTGCCAACATCCTAACCGTAGTTAGTTTATACATACTAGAAGTTTGTTTATACGTTTATAAAAATAAAAACATGTTTTTGAATACTGTTGAGAAGCACGATCATAATACACGCTTTAAAAGCCACCTCCAACCTGAGAGACACCGGACTACGTTGTTCCAGAAAAGTTTTCATTATACTGGTTGTAAACTATATAACTCTCTTGATGAACAACTTAAGAGCTCCAAAAACTTGAATATATTTAAAAAGAGGCTTAAACAACAGCTAATTCAAAAGGCCTGCTATACGCTGGATGAGTATTTTATGTAATTCTATGTAATGTTAGTAACGTGATGAATATATTGTATTTAATTGTGATGCTGTCGCATTGTTTGTTTGTTATATTTTTTCTTTTTTTTGACGTACTTTACTGTTTCATGTTATACATTTAACAGAAAATAAAAATTATTATTATTATTATTATTAATGAGCCTTTAAGTATAAATTACAGTATTAACATTTATTTGTTGAATAAATGTTTATTGGTATTCTTTGATTGGTGGTGTTCTTTAAGTGAGTAATAAAATGTATATAAATATGTAAGAATTAAACTGTAATTCTGGAAAACTAACTGATTAATGAACGAGGAAATCGGACACGTGGACGTGAAATGATGAAATAAAATTCTTGTAGATACTCCACAACGTCTTCCAAAATTGATTCAGCTGACCCAGACCTCGTTTCTCCGCAGAACTTTTTTGTTTGTTCTGCGGTTGAGATCTGTGGTTGTGATCTGTCTATGTAATTTCGGAACACCCTGTTCAACTTAGAATTTTGCAAGGAGTGTATTGAGTTCTTAGAAATTTCTTTAGATTCTTTGGAATTACCTGAGATTAGCTTGGAGAAGCTAAAAAAAAACGGAGGAAAAACCCTTGGCACAGATCAATTTTTCGGAATTCTTCAGGAATCTCGGAATTAAATGGAATGCCTTGGAATGCCTTGGAATTCTTGGAATTTATTGAGATTTCTTTATGAAATCAAGCTTAGTTGACAACATGAATCATGGACATTTAGGACCTGTCATATACCTATGTTTATATTATATACAAAAAATGTACACAATCAGTGTCTTATGTTGGGAGTCCAGTGATAATATTATTACATAACCAAGTAATTATTCTTGAACAAAAATAAATTACCTGATCTTGAGAAATTGTTACCCAAAGAAGAAATCCAATAAACCCAAAGAGAAGAATAATATTTGGAACAAATCACCTGAACATTTAAATAAAAACTTGGAAAGGAACTCAAAATCTTTCTTCTTCTTAAAGCATACTGACTACCTTGTAACACAATCATGTAAATTACTGTAAATAATGTTTCATTTTATATTTCTTTGACGCTCCCAAAACTGGCTGACACACTGTCGATTGTCTCTTATGGTCGGTTCATAGAAAAAACTTACATTTAATTTATATTTAGTTTAATTTAATTTCATAGTAGGCGAGTTTGACTTGTTCATAGAAATGCATTCAAGAAATACTTACGCATGCGCAGAAACATAAATATGGGTATTTTCAGATTTATATTGGTACAACTGACGCTATAATGCTCAATGCACATCTAATTTTCAATGTTTTTTTTTAGTTGTTATTCGATGTTGGTGACAAAGGAACACAACGGGCGCATGCTCAGTTCAATTTAATTTATTGCAATGAAAAGTTGGGCATGTTATCAGTGCTAAATTAAATATAAATTAAATGTAAATTAAATATAAATAATTTATATGAACTGGCCATAATGGTGCTTGGATTAGTTTAGAAATATAAGTAAGCGTGAGTAAGAGTAGTAAGACATATGACAGGTGCTGAATAGTATAGTTTATGTCGGTGGTTTTAGGTTATCTGATCAACAACTTCAACACCTGTCAATACCCAATTGTCATTTGTCATCCAAACACTCGCGTCACTTGTGAACTACATGTCAGTTGTCACTGCCACTAATGTCAATGACATCTGCTACGTCAGTCATGTCAATGTCAGCCCTCACACGACAAGGCCAACTGCAAACAGACGAGCGTCTCGGACCAGGAAGGAGCCATGGGTGTCGGCTTCATTCTGTTCTGACCTGATGCGGAAGGGTAGTATAATTAAATGTGGCCGATAGTGATTTATTGTTTTATTCATTCAATATTATTTTCGTTCAGGATCGAGCTAATAAAACTAATCCATAATCTGTCAGGAAGAAGCCAACTACCCTCTACATTGCTACTCCGAGACCATACAATAATTCGTTGATGCCACTTGCTGCAGAGAGAATGCAAGAAATGAAGCGCGTGGTGGGGGAATGTTGCATTGCATTAGAAGCGACTAGCGTTTCCTTTCCCGTTGCTCACTTGGCCGTTGTAATTCCGACTAACTTATGTCATCGGCGTCATTTAGGGGAGGGGCAGGGAGGGGAGCAAACTGATCGGAAGCAGAACAGTATAGGGGATCCTTTAATCTATGGTATAGGTACTCAAAATTGAAGAATATCTATTATTTAAAAATATTCAAACATAAAATATACCTGAAGAAGAAACCAATTCCCTGAAATGTAAAAACTGGCGCCTCATCCAGTCATACAAAAATATCAAGGAAATAAATCACTATTAACAGATTATTTTCCATCAAGTGGACCTATACTGCGGTTCCTACCAGGGACAATAGACTGATGAGTACCTAACTTATTAGCTGTTTTCAGTGATAAATTTTGAATGGTATGAGACGAAAATATTGAAATGAATCAGGAAATCTCTGAATAATTCCGCAGAATTGAGAAATGAGTCTTTCCCTTGCTTGATGAAAATCATTAATACTACTCAATCAATAATTATTTACATTACTTCAACCACATTGACATATTTTTCAATTCACTCATATACATTTGAAATTTCCTTATTTTAGTTTTTTGTTATCAAAATACTTCACATCAAAATGAAATATAAGTGTTATTTCAATATATTTGTAGTGAAAACAAAATTCAGAAACCAAAAATGTCTCTGTGTTGGAAAAAAGTTACTTTCATAAATATGGATGAAAAATCTCTTACTAATAATTAGTGACACCTTGTTTGCCCTCACTATAAATGTATTGAAATGATACTCAGATTCTCATCAAAAGGAACAAGGAGAAAATGTTGAAAAATCTCAAGAAATGAACATCTAACTTTTTGGTTAACTTTCAGAAAGTATTTAAAACACTTATCACTTGCTCTTCTTTTGTTCTTATTATCAGATATTATTTCTGTATCAATTACAACTAAATGAGAATATGAAATTGGATAATATCTAATTGGATGATGAAGTTGTAACTCTGGAAAAATTCTAATTCTCAATTTGAAGGTATTTGACCTTGAACCCAAAAAAAATTCGTCTACGGCGCATTTTATAGCATGGAACTTTTTTTCTCCGAGTTCCTTGCCCCCCCTGGTGAACACTGAAATGACGCCCCTGACTTATGTACAGAATATCGAGTATAATATAAGGAACGGAAATATCCTTTTTCTAGACAATCTAAGCTATCCCGGTCTAAACGAACCTATTTCTTGAGGAAGGAGAATGTCGTTTCTATATAAAAAATGAGACTACTTTTCCAAGCAATCTAACCTAACTCGGCCGAAATGAACCTTTTTCCCAAAAAGTGTATTTTTCGAAAACAAAACAAAATTCGACCCTTGCATGGGTAGCGACCCGAGTCGTCGGCGTGCCGCATGGATTCCGGATGCCTAAAAATTGTAAGAAGAAATTCAGTCCGAGCGTCGACACGAACAGTTGCCCGCATATGCCATATAAATACGCCCCCCCCCTCCACGCGCTTTATTTCTTGCGTTATCTCTGTAGGCGCTAGTGCCGATACTCACTTCTAGGAAAAAGTAGTTCTTCAAACTGCCGCAACTCCTGATGTTGGTAAGCTGGAGGTGGATGACGCAATTCGTGTCATCTTTCTTTATCAAACTCAAAGTCTTATCGGTGAGACAGAGACGGTAGTTGCCCGTCCTGCCGGTACCTAGTCCTCTGTTCAGGACGACCACTTGCCATACGTGCTCTGAAAAAAAGGAAAATACACATAAATATACAGTGTCAAGTTTTATTATATCTCCACATCATTTTGAAAGTAATCACTATTTCTTGTATAACAGAAACTGGCTCACTCCTTGGATCTTTTGCCAAATATGGAGGCAACAGAGTTGCGACATTCTAGTGTGTTTTTGAGGTTCAGTATCATCCATCAGAAGAAAAACAAAAATTCAGGAATAACAACACAAGATATTTTGAATTATCTTTGAATAGCGGGGAATTGAGATATCACTTTTGGATGCGCATTCCTTATTCCATTTATGATCATTTATCAGCACTTCTCAATTTGAAAGTTGGCCATCTTCTTAAATCCTAAATCTTAAATCATAAGTCTTAAATGGTTTTATAACATTACCAATGATATTTCCATGTTCCATCTGTCCTAAGTGATAAGCCTTAAATGTTAGTTGATAAATCTTAAGTCTTAAAGTTTTTTATGCACTAGCGGGCCATAAAGTGCACGTTACCGCCCGGTTTTGCGGGCTCATTATGGCCCACGGGCCGTAAAGTGCACTTTACCGCCCGCTGATGTTCTCAGTTTCCCTATATCCACATATCAATTCATGAAAAACCTATGATCATTTTCCTAGATTCTAATATATCCAGCGGTAAATCATAAACTTCTTCTTTATACGATTCCATAGTCTCGCTATTATCATTATCACCAATTTTTACTTTTCAGTCAAAGAATGACAATTCAGCTTGTTTATTGGATATATTTCGTATCATTGCAATAGACAACAACCATCAGCTTGCTTGACAACGTCAGAATTAGGTATATACAGGGTGTTTCATAATTGAATGTCAATATTCGAGGAGGCGATTCTTGGGCTCATTCTAAGAAGAAAGTTTCATATGAACGTATGACCTAAACGTCCCAACTTTGGAGATACAGGGTGGTAAAATTCTCGAAAATTAATATAGCCTACTACAATGAGAAGTTATAATTCGAAAATACCAAATACGAATACAAAGTTCATGAACTATGAATTGTATTTCTGAAATTTGATCTTAAAAATAAAAACTATTTCTCTGCATTGTGATATTATCATATTAACAATATTACTATAATCATGTAGTGAAAAGCTTTTTATTTTTAAGCGAAAACCGTGCATCAGATTGAAAAAATTGTAGTGATCAAATTTGCTTAGAAATGATCGGGAATTTCAGGAATGATTTCAATTTGGAGATTAATCAGTGGCGTACCATCAATGTCTGCCAAAATAGGTATGTGAAATTCCATACGAACGCCACTGGTGGCAACAACAAAAAATGTGGTACGCTAACTGATGCCTCTTGATACATAGTACATGTATGCCGAATTTCATCAGAATATCTGAAGTGGTATTACAGATATTAATAAAAAACTATTAATTTTTGAGAACTTTACCACCCTGTATCTCAAAAGTTAGGATGTTTAGGTCATACGTTCATATGAAACTTTCTTCTTAGAATGGGCCCAAGAATTGCGTCCCCAAATATTGACATTCAATTATGAAACACCCTGTATACTGGGTATGCATATTGTAAAATTCTGAAGAACGAATCTCTTCTAGAGATCAAAGAGTTTGACTATTACGATAATTGCAATATTTGTACGATAATTTTTATAGGTAAATCATCCATGAACATTACGCTTCTCTTGATTACTGAATTTATAGATAACAAATTAAATTCGGGGGAATATTAGTTTATCGAAATCTATAGTCATTACTTTTGAGTCAGAAAATAAACTACTAGAGCAGTAAATTTTGTATGTATCACGTGCGTGAAATGCGTTTATGGCCTTCAGCGTGTAATGGCCTTCGGCTACCGCCATCGGGCCATTATTCACGCCACAGGCCATAAACGCCTACTTTACGCCGTTGATACATAAATAACTATTAAAAAGTGGCCCTAAATCTTGATTCTCGGAAAAATATTTTAGTAGTCTGCCAATATTGGTTTGTAGTTTGTTTTTTGCTGAACACATTGTCAGCATGTTCCCATATTCCCGAACAGTTCTGTCCAGTATATTTTATTGTTCCGATTTTACTGAAATTTAGTGGCAATGTTTTCGCGGATCAGTGCAGGAACCCTGTTAGAGGCTATAAGTTTACTGTTGACCACTGGTGCAGAAATAATGATGTAGTGCCAGTAATCATAAAATATTCCTAATATTAGGTTAAGCATTTGAACGGTTAGGTATGAGTCGATATATAATTATTTATTATACAAAAGAAATAGTAGTAGATTTTAGCTCCAAGTTGTGATGTCTCCCGACGCGTAACTGAGGGAGACAAAAAACGTGAGCTAAAATACAGGGTGCCCGCTAAAAGGAGGTCAATCCATTAACCATATATTCATTGAACAAAAATAATATGAGTTTCTAAATTCCATTTTTCATTTTAGCCCTTCTTATTCGATATACAGGGTGTCAAAGTTGGAAATTGAAAACTGTTTTTTTCTAATTACTCGCGTAATTAATAAGATATTAATCTCAAAATTGGTACATTACTTCAGCACAAAGAGTTACATCGTGTGAGGAAAACAAAACAGAAAATAACTGTCAAATATTCAAAATACTGGGTGTCAAGTACACACTTACCCCCATATTTTTTTGTACGTGCGCTAATGACTTCCTATCTATTTTTCTTCAAGTGTTCAATCATTTTTGAGTATTTTTTGATTTTTGTAAAATTCCGATAAAATTATTTGTTTTCAAGATAATTCGAAAAGTACTGGTTATTGTTTGATGCCTCGCGGAGAGAACATTTTTTTCTTCGAAACTATGCGGTATAGGAAATTTTCACAAGAGCAATAAAATGGAGGTAATTGATTAGTATTCAAGCTCAAAAAATTTCAGAACCGTATTATGACCCCTAAAAAAGTTCTGAAAAAAATTTCAGGGGGTGAGGGTGGTTTCAACCCTTCTACAATTTCTTTTAGATTTCTTCGATTACCAAAAGGAAAGTAATCCTCTGAAATACACTATTGCCAAATTTCATCAAATTCGTTACACTTGTTTCTGAACAGCGTACAAAAATGTGTTTTTTCTGTGACGGGAAAAAAGTTTGGCATTTCATCTCTGTTGGCAGGTTATAAAATGTCACTTTTCATAAAATACTTTTTTCCCGGATATATATCACATATATATATATATACTGTTGATGGCTTTTGTTGTGCTATAGTTCCGAAAAATGAGTCAATAATACCGTCTCCAAAAAAGAACTTCAAGTCCTTTTATCTTCCATTCGACTTCGCGGTTACGTATAGTACTAAACCACCACTAAATTCGCAATTTTTTGAAATCAAATCACAGATTTAGACTGACAGAAGTGACATCAGATATTTGATTACTTCAAAAGAATGATAAAGATGCCTACAACGCAGGTGTCCCTACTATTAAAAACTTAAAATTTCACATGGATAATTTTCAGATGTAATATCTTCCCAATATTGATTCGTCCTTTCTTCTGCCACAGAAAAAAATAGTGTATTATACACGGGAAAAATATTAGATTTTAGCTCACGGTTTTTTGTCTCCCTCCGCTACGCGTCGGAAGACAACACAACCTGGAGCTAAAATCTACTACTTTTTTCCCTTGTATAATAAATAATAACTATTTTTTATGTGAACTTTGAACCCTTCTCACGGATAAACGGTACATTTTGGCACATAAATAAATTGGGTCCAATCAACTTATTTTGACCCCTTCTATATGTGGTAGATCTGTGTCCCAGCAATTTTGGGACACCCTGTATATATTTTTTCATGTTCATTATTCATCTGAGAATATTCCTCTTCAAAACGTAAAAAGTTTGGTTGTGAACGCCGCTTAACCTTCCAGTAGTCGCACGCGGAGTATCACTCCGCACGAATATAAAACGTGAGTTTTCTGGAATATACTTTATTTCCTTATTTCTCCGCACTCAGTACCTTCTTAAAATGACGACCAACGAATCGAGTATTACCGATGTGCAAAATTGCTTCATTCTTGAATTTCATAGCATAGCGCGGAGTCGTACTCCGCAGCGACCTCAGGCGTCTTAGATATATTGCATATTGCAGTTACACTTTGCAGCTATTTTGGGAGTTTTAGGAAAAACATTTGTCTTATTTGATGAATGATATTTCATAAAATACCGTTTTGTAAACACACATGATCGATGCTACTGTGATAAAAAAAATAGACACACCCAATTTGATTGTAGTACATGTGAAAAATTCATTTGCTCATTAGAACCCGCTTCATTCATTTGCAGAGATTGCCGATGAGTCATTGGTCGTTTGAGATTGAAACATTTTCAGTTTGTCCTCAAATTATAGTGTTTTTGTTTGAATTCTATAGTTATCAAATCTTCGATAGTTGTCTAATGGTAATTTTGTGTTTTGTTATTGAATAAATATATTTTTATTGCAATTTTGACATTTAACTTCCTGGAAATGTTCATGTCCGAAGGCATACTGATGAAATCTTCGGAAAAATTCAAGTCATCATGTTCAAACCACCCAAATTCTCCATCGCGGAGTCAGGCTCCGCAGCGACAGACTATGTCCTTTTTAAGGCGCGACTACTGTAAGGTTAAACACGGCCATGCATTTCCTCGAATGGAAAATTTCCGAGCCCATTGGCGCGCGCCATCTGTCCAACAATCAATTACCATCATCGTGAAGGATAAACAAACTCGGGATTTTCGCGTTCTGGAAATAGTCGCGACAGGGCAGTCACTCGTGCGCCAGACACAAAAAATAATAATGTCACCTATGTCCGCCTATTCTCGAAATGGAAAAACTAGACGGTAGACTCTACGCGAGCGACAGTTAAATTTAGCGGGCCAATATTTTGGATGTGTCTACTTCGTGACGTCGCGTCGGATGACGGTCGCGGCGTTGCCAGACTTCGAAGAGGTATAAAAAAGTGACACAGCCGTTTTGGCACAATGGGCGTGTACAC